TGTTCTTTTGTATAAATTTTAGATAGTGAGATGAAAATAATTTTATATCCCAAAACATTTCTTTATGTTCTGAGATGTTTTTGTTTTTGCAACAATGTTCAACAAATACTTCTGGGGAAAGATCCTCGCTACTTGAATAGTACAATGTATATTCGACTGACTGAAATATCTTAAAAAGCAACATATGTGTTTTACCAAAAAGCTAGAATGTATTACAACTAAAGGTCAGTAATCGATTAAATAAGATATCATTGTCATTCACTGCTAGATGTCGGTGATTGAAATAATCGACAGTGATCATTTATGACAGTTTTGCTCAGAGAGTAATGAAAAAAAGGGTTTTGTGTAGGTATAATATAAAATCTATGGTAAAGTCATTTTTAAATTTATATGTTACAGCTCAACTTACAACTTAATACAAATCTATTTAAGCCAACTTGCCCACTGTTCATTACTACATGTTATTTTTACACTGTTAATAAACAACTAGACAATTTAATTAAAATCTGTAGACAAAATTCCACGAAAACGAAATATACGGTATGGTACATTTATCTAAAATGGTTCACCAAGGTTTTTATTGCTATCATACCTGTTTGTTTTGATAATTACTTACAACTCATGTATTAGATTCTGATAACTTTTTATATATTCAGAACAAAAAAATAACTTTCGTATTCTTAGTATATTGAGAAGTAGAATTTTTTCCTATTTTTATTTACTTACCAGCTAATACGAATAATTGCGAATGTTTATCTTTTTTCAGGTTCTCATAGTTCATGTTTAAGTATGTTCAGTATAATGCCATTTTTCCAATGCCTTCGCGATGGATCTTGTCAACTTGGTGTTCGAGCTGATCGCTCTTACTGGTTAGCTACCACAGAACCTCTTCCAATGATGCCACTAGATGTAAGCGAAGTTACTCGAAGAGTTGCTCGTTGTGTTGTCTGTGAAGCACCAACACAACCTTATGCTTTTCATGCACAAGCAAATCAACTTCAAGAAGTTAACTGTCCAGAAGGCTGGGCAAGACTTTGGGATGGATATAGCTTTGTAATGGTGAGATTATAAATCTATATACTTTTTCAGTTGAACAATTTTAACACTGTAAAGTATAGCTTATTAAATCTATGCTAGGTAAACAATACCGAACACACTTCTAAGCCACCCACATGTACGTAAATAATTTTTAAAACCTTGGGCGAAGTAGAAAATACAAATGTGATCACAGTGCTACCTGATCATTTTTTTATATGAAGAGATATCATAGAAAAGCATTTTGTTCATCTATATTTTTATTACTATTTTGTAACAAGTCATATTGGTGTTTCTCTACAATTAAGAGTAATGGTCTGACAGAATTCAGTATGTATCAAGTTTCTACGGTGATTTGAACTTTTAAATCTACCTTCATTATATTTTCATCCAAAAAGACAGATGTAATACTCCATAAACTACTCATCCTTTTCACTTTGTTCAAATGTTTGTAAAGTTTTAATACCAACTATCGCCATATATTTAAAATAATTGGTATAGATATTTTCTTTCAGACATTAGTTTATATTTCGTTTCTTTTCTCTGTCTCATAATTTTTATTACGCATGATCATTGTCGTTTAGTCGGTCTTTATAATCATTAGTAGTATTCAGAAATAAAGTATTTTTTTGAAAAACAACCAGTGATGTTTATGAATGAATTACCACTTTACTTAAGAAGAATATATGACTTAGTCTTATAGCTGTTAGTTATTAGAGTAATAAATTATCTATTGATACCAACGGTCTTCAAAGTCCTTCCAGTAAGAAAGCTAAAAACACTTAATAATTCGGTAGTTAAACGTATAACTTATAGAGAACAAAGCTAAAAAACTAATCTATCATCACACAGTATAATGAATGAAAAAGGTTTTGTTCATGCACACATAGGAAACAAAGTCTAACTAAGATGCATTATGTCCAGTATGTAAAACAAACAACTCTTAAATGATTTACCCCTCAAAACCATGGTATTGGAACTGAGGATAAAAAAATGATTTTATGAATACATAATAAACGTATCATTTTAAATATTCTTTTTTTAATAGCATAGTGTTGGAAGTACTGGTGGTGGTCAACAACTTTCATCACCTGGCAGCTGTCTTGAATATTTCAGTTATTCTCCATTATTAGAATGTAATAATGGTATGAGTCTGTGCAATTATTGGTCAGATGCAAAAGCTTATTATCTACGTCATGTCAGTAATAATACAGAATTTCAAAAACCAGTTGGTCAATATATTACAGATCATTTACCAGATGAAACTAAAGTGCTACGTGAAATAAGTCGATGTCGTGTTTGTACTAAATCTCGGTTCCAATCATATTTTGTTTAGTTCAAAGGAAGATATAAAGAGTAAGAAGAATAAAATGAAAATATTAGACATTTATGCAATTTTTTATGAAATGAAAATGATTATTTCAATTTATTGTGCATTCATTCAGGATGATATATAAAAATATATATGTATGTTGCTTGATAAATACTTGCCTCTATTGTTTTTATCAACTTATTCTAGATGCTTATTTCGATTTAACCCTTTTTCTTGAAACAAAAAAATATTTTTTCCGTTCATTAATATTACTTTCTTGCTTACTTTGATGTCGTTTCTGAACTCTTTCCCTCCATGCAAGTGATATATCCATGTATTTTATTGCAAGTATATTTGTGTTTTATTATGAATCTGATTATTACTATTATTATTATCAATAGTATTATAATTGAATAAAATAGAGAATCTTAAAGCTTCATAAAAAATCTTTGTTTCCATAATATCTCTTATATTGATTATCTCATTTACTAAATGAATCAGATACAAGTTTCTGCTGATGAATGTTTATTGTAACTGTTCTTTTTAATTTAATCTTTACAAACTAGTTGGGTGTTATATTTTGTTTTAAGTGATTATATTCAAAATGTACGAATTTAATTTTTTAGGGATTTTTCTTTTAAGATTATCCAATGAATGGACTTTTCAAAAGTATTTGTTTCCCATTCTTTTCGATCTTTATCAATTGTAATCACAAAATATTATCTAATGTTAAATTTTAAATAATGAAATTCATATCAATCAAAAATAACTTTTGGATTAACTAAAAGAATAAAATTTTAATCGAGTGATAGAAGTTAAAGTTCACTATTTATACACGATACACTTTTATTCATTGAACAAGTTGTAAAATAATTTATTCTCAGATTATCCCTAACTTGTTTATTTGTCGATATGAAAAGTCCTTAAATCATATTGATTTAGACCACAAGTTATTAATTATTGATTATATGTGGTCAAATATAGGACATTACTATATTTTCTTTGTGTTACAGAAAAGATTTCTATGTAGATTAATGCGAAGCAAAATTATTGAGGTAACTCGTTTTTGTCAGATCGTATTACAATCCTGTGTTGGCTACTATTTAAAATGCTTTTACAAAACTAAGAGTTTAAACATCCAAATATTTCGTAAACGTTTATTCATCGTACAGTTTTTACATTACAAATTCGAAAGTAGAGAATGTCACCAGCAATGAGACTAATTCCTGAGTTCCTATAAAATAGCCTTTTTCTCTAGCCTCGATTCATTTTTCCGCCAATGTATAAGGTGTGGAAGGCATTTTTGAATATTATTCATGGTTAACTAAGCCTTTCTCTAAATTTAACGAAAACTTTACGATGCTGTGCATCTTAATCTTTGAGAACCACCAGATTGCATTCGTAGGCAAATGATGGTTATATCATGTATTATTGTACCATAATATCACTTGAAGTTAAGTAACCAGCCATTATGTTCATATCAAACAGGGTCTACACACAACATTTATTAAACTTTCCGATATACGTTTTTGAATAGATTATAGTTTTACTACCTTTCAAACTCCTAAGCGTTTGTACCTGTTCAGCAGTTTTCGTCTGATGTGGTTCCCGTTCTAATGAACAAGTAAAGTGACTTTTTAAAAATTCGGTAGCACCATTTTAAAAAGCATCATAATACACGTCAGGAAATATAACGTTTGCTACATATACTTATTAGTAAACTTATAGTGAAAAAGACTTATTCCACAGTCGGAAACAGTCTTGATCGAGACTAATGTTTTGAGAAGCAATGAATATAACTTATTTTAATGCACTAATGTTTAGCTACTCAGTTATATTATAAATATCTGAGATAGTACTTTCGTCTCACAGTTTTCCGAAATTGAGTTTCTGACAAGACTAACCATCGTGACAAAATTATTTGCTATCATGAGCGTTTTAGAGTGGCGTGATATTCGTGGTGCGAACTTCCGCCATTTCTAATCGAATAACCAAAAATACCGTCAAAGTCAAAAACTACTGCTACGTCCCCAAGCTTAAGTTAAGGATTTTGATACCTATGTTTGCACTATACAGATCATAATTATCTGGTTTTAGGCATAAACTATACTTAAAGTGAAAAAAGTCACTTGAACCATACGCACGTGAAATAAATGTTCTTAACTTGATCATTCACCGGGGATTCATTCCTGAATGTTGCTCTGATAGTTCACTTTTCAGAGCAATTTAGATTAGATGCGCTTAATTGTTTGCCACAACGTCATAATTAATAATTTGCTCTTGATTTAAAGATGATAGAGCAAACTCAGTCTATTTCAATCCAACGAAACGCAAAAACAAACTGGCTTGTGTTTACAAAGCGGACTTCTATTAACCGAGAGGTGTCTCGATGTTTTAAGCATAGTTTGATCTCAACAAAAGATAACCTTCGCTATTCTGTTCAGAGCAGTTTTCTGTATTCTAAAGATGGACGTTTTGTGTTATTTTTTGTTTGATTTTGTAGAAAAAGAAATTGCTTGTGTAAAACTTTTAATTCTAAAATTTGCGAATTATTTACTTAACATGTTACAGTATATGACGTATAAAAATTATTTACAGAGTGACTATAAGTTTTTAAAACTGCGAATTATGTGTTTCATCAGTTTTCTTTCTTTTATTCTTCATCTATAAGACAATATTCGTTTTCAATACCAGAAATGGCTAAAAAGGATTTTAAAAGTTATTAGTATGCACTCAATAAGGAGTAACATTCATTCCAAATCCAGAACACGTTATAGAATAAAACACTTTATGATATAAATGTTTCAACATGTTTAATAAAATATCTGAAATGAAAATTAAATAATTGTTTGTAGTAGTAAGTCTCAGTAATAACACAACCCTGAGCTTTCTGTGAGGTGACGTATTTTTTACTTTATGAATATCTGTTTCCTGAACATCCTAATGAGAAATTTTTCACGAATTTTTTTTACTCTCATTAGTAAACACCAAGTCCGCCTGGAGTCCCTCCGGGGGCTACTGCCGGTCCCAAGCCCGGATAAAGGAGGAGGGTTGGGCATGGGGTTAGCGTCCCCATCCCGTAGAAAACTAACTCGCTAAAAAAACGCCAACCAGAAAAAATTATTCAAACCTTTTAAACTCTGCCCTGGGAGTCAGAAGGTCTTCATTTAGAAGAATTATGACGCCTCATGATGAAAGCCGAATTCCTTCGGAAGTTACGAGGCCGATGCCCCTTCTGACAACCAGAGCGACCATTTATTTAGGTACATGGAACGTTCGTACAATGTGGGACACCGGAAGAGCCTTCCAAATTGCTGCAGAAATGAGAAGATACAACCTAGAGGTACTTGGGATCAGTGAAATACATTGGACACAAATTGGACAACAACGACTAACTACAGGAGAGCTCCTGTTATACTCCGGCCATGAAGAAGAAAATGCACCGCATACACAAGGAGTTGCATTGATGCTGTCCAAACAAGCACAAAATGCACTTATAGGATGGGAATCTCATGGATCAAGGATCATCAAAGCCTCCTTCAAAACAAAGAAAGAGGACATTTCAATGAACGTCATCCAATGCTATGCGCCTACCAACGACTACAATGAAGACGCTAAAGATCAATTCTACAATAGGCTGCAGTCAATCGTCGAGAAGTGCTCAACAAAGGACCTGACCATTCTGATGGGAGATTTCAACGCCAAGGTTGGAACGGACAACACTGGATATGAAGACATCATGGGAGGACACGGACTGGGAGAAAGAAACGAAAATGGTGAGAGATTCGCAAATCTATGTGCCTTCAATAAGCTGGTCATTGGCGGCACCATATTCCCACATAAACGCATACACAAAACCACATGGACTTCACCGGATCACTCTACACAAAACCAAATCGACCATATTTGCATCAACAAAACGTTCAGGAGGACTATAGAGGACGTGAGAACCAAGAGAGGAGCTGATATAGCATCAGATCATCACTTACTGGTCGCCAAGATGAAATTGAAACTCAAGAAGCACTGGACAACGGGGCGGACAATATCACAAAAATTCAATACGGCCTTTCTACAGGATACTAACAAACTCAACAAATTCAAGATAGTCCTCAGCAACAAGTTCCAGGCCTTTCATGATCTACTCAATGGAGAAGGAACTACTGTGGAGAGCAACTGGAAGGGGATAAAAGAGGCAATCACTTCAACATGTCATGAGGTCCTGGGTCACAAGAAGCACCACCACGAGGAATGGATCACTGTTGATACACTGGATAAGATTCAAGAAAGAAGAAACAAGAAGGCAGCGATCAACACCAGCCGAACAAGAGCAGAAAAAGCCAAGGCACAAGCTGAATACACAGAAGTTAACAAACAAGTGAAGAGGAGCATCAGAACCGACAAACGTAAATATGTGGAAGATTTAGCAACGACGGCGGAAAAGGCTGCAAGAGAAGGAAACATGAGACAACTGTATGACACGACAAAGAAACTCTCTGGAAATCGCCGCAAACCAGAACGACCAGTGAAAAGCAAAGAAGGCGAGGTAATCACCAACATTGAAGAGCAACAAAACAGGTGGGTAGAACACTTCAAAGAACTCTTGAATCGACCAACCCCACTGAACCCACCCAATATCGAAGCAGCACCCACGGACCTCCCAATCAATGTTGGCCCACCAACAATTCAAGAAATCAGCATGGCCATCAGACAAATCAAGAGTGGCAAAGCAGCAGGACCGGACAACATCCCAGCAGAGGCACTGAAAGCAGACGTAGCGGAAACTGCAAGGATACTCCACATTCTCTTCAATAAGATTTGGGATGAGGAACAAGTACCACAAGACTGGAAAGAAGGACTTCTGATCAAAATACCGAAGAAAGGCGATCTCAGCAAGTGTGATAACTACAGGGGCATCACTCTTCTCTCAATACCGGGAAAAGCCTTCGATGGGGTAGTGTTAAACAGAATAAAGGACTGCGTGGACGCCCAACTTCGAGACCAACAGGCAGGATTCCGTAAGGATAGATCGTGTACAGATCAAATCGCAACTCTACGGATCATTGTGGAACAATCAATTGAATGGAATTCATCACTCTACATCAACTTCATTGACTACGAAAAGGCATTTGATAGCGTGGACAGAACAACACCATGGAAACTTCTTCGACACTACGGCGTGCCTCAGAAGATAGTCAATATCATACAGAACTCATATGAGGGATTACACTGCAAAATCGTGCATGGAGGACAGTTGACAAAGTCGTTCAAAGTGAAGACCGGTGTTAGGCAAGGTTGCTTACTCTCACCCTTTCTCTTTCTCCTGGTGATCGACTGAATCACGAAGACGTCAACGTCTGAAGGGAAGCGCGGGATACAATGGACATCTAAGATGCAGTTGGATGATCTAGACTTCGCAGACGATCTGGCCCTTCTATCCCAAACGCAAAAACAGATGCAGGAGAAGACGAACATATTTGGCCAGTATCATTGATGAACACGGTGGATCTGATGCAAATGTAAAGGCGCGGATCGGCAAAGCAAGAGCAGCATATTTACAACTGAAGAACATCTGGAACTCAAAGCAACTGTCAACCAACACCAAGGTCAGGATTTCCAATACAAATGTCAAGACAGTTCTACTGTATGGGGCATAAACCTGGAGAACTACAAAAGCCATCATCCAGAAAATACAGGTGTTTATTAACAATTGTCTACGCAAAATACTTCAGATCCATTGGCCGGACACTATTAGCAACAACGTACTGTGGGAGAGAACAAACCAGATCCCAGCGGAGGAAGAAATTAGGAAGAAGCGCTGGAAGTGGATAGGACACACATTGAGGAAAGCACCCAACTGTGTCACAAGACAAGCCCTCACATGGAATCCTGAAGGTCAAAGGAAAAGAGGAAGACCAAAGAACACATTACGCCGAGAAATGGAGATAGACATGAGAAAAATGAACAAGAATTGGATGGAACTAGAAAAGAAGGCCCAGGACAGAGTGGGTTGGAGAATGCTGGTCAGCGGCCTATGCTCCATTGGGAGTAACAGGCGTAAGTAAGTAAGTAAGTAGTAAACACCAATGAGTTCTGAAAACCCATTCGGGTTTATATCATTGGAAATTTTGCTTCATACTTGACGGAGAGGCTTTCGCAGATCTACAAACCTTTACATATCTCGGAAGAATTATTGATGAACATGGTGGATCTGATGCAGATATGAAGGCACGGATCGGCAAAGCAAGAGCAGCATATCTACAACTGAAGAATATCTGGAACTCAAGACAACTGTCAACCAACACCAAATTCAGAATTCTCAATACAAATGTCAAGACAGTACTACTATATAGGGTGGAAACCTGAAGAACTACGAAAGCCATCGTCCAGAAGATACAGGTGTTTTTTAACAGTTATTTACGCAAAATACTTCAGTTCCGTTGGTCAGGCACTGTCAGCAACAACCTACTGTGGGGGAGAACAAACCAGATTCTAAAGGAGAAAGAAATCGGGAAGGAGCATTGGAAGTGAATAGGGCACACAGGACAAGCCTTCACATGGAATCCTGAAGGCCAAAGGAAAAGAAGAAGACCGAAAACACATTACACCGGGAAATGGAGAAAGACATGCGAATAATGAACAAGAATTGAATAGAACAAGAAAGGAAGACCCAGGATAGAGTGGATTGGAGAATGCTAGTCGGCGGCCTATGTTCCATTGGGAGTAACAGGCGTAAGTAAGTAAATTTTGTTAATTTAAAGAAACCTAAAACTTAGGATGCTTACTAGGGTACAATCTAGAGAACAAAATGATTTACCAAGCCAAGAGTGAATTAAGTGATAGCAACGACCTTTACGCAAAAAATACTTGTTTACCAACCTTTTTAAAGCCATGAATTGCTTAACATATTCAGAGTACATTTACTACGAATCAAATACAAATCAGTATATAAGTAACATATTTGTGACCCCAGTATTCAGTAATGTACCATTTGGAGATAAAACTTAAGCGCAATACTTGAAGGCTTTAGTACGACGGTAAACGATGTTCACAAAGTGTAATTAACCAGAAAACTGATAAATAATAAACGTTACATTGATGTATGGGTAAGAAAAATAACGATTGGATGTTTACTCAGTCAGACTAATGGATAATCTGACAAATCTTAGATGTGTTAAATATTATCCTACCTTTATTATTACTGAAGTCAGTTGTCGACTTGGAAATATACTCACTTTCTAGTCGAGCCAATCACCTTTTCTTGATTCGAGTTGTGTTGAAGTCCTGTAGAATGAACACTAGGAGGGCATCTAGTGTACATATTAGTCGAAGGTAAATTTGTGTTCCATTGGTTTAAGGAAGCGAACTGAGAGTTATTTCATATATGTTAGTTATCTTGCTGTTTATCATTAAAAGAAATCCTTGGAATTAAAATACATTGGTTTTAAAAACACTATTACAGAATTTTCTGTTATTTCACAATGTTCCGTTTGTACATTCCGGTACAGATTTAAAACTGACTACAGTTGTTATGCCATTGTAAATCCTCGGAAAACAGTATCATAATTTTTATGACAAACGCAAGTACAGAATTTCTAGTTATTTTAAAATTCTGAGTATTTTCTTTAATAATTGGTCTTTATGTGACAACTAGCTCATTCATACAATTTTTTGGGTATTTTATATATATGATGCTCATTCAGTTAACTACTAGTTTTTTCTTCCAAGAACTGACTTGGTTAGGTAAGCCGGTCGATAATGTGAGCTAACTATTTGTCCGACCACCCTAATCATATCATTTATTTTATCAAACCGTTTACCCATCATAACGTTAAACATGACATTTATAAGAATCATGACTTAGACACATCTGGCTATGTAAAGTCCGTAGGCCTGTTGCTAATCACTCACAGTTTTTGAACCAAGCAGGTGTTGTTGCAAGTCCCAACTGAATGTCACCCATCAGTATATTTACCGTTGTTAAAATGTAAATAATATTCTAACAAATACTATGCATTCACTACCATAAATAATTAAGATTCTGTGTTGTTAAGATGAAAACCAATTTGTTTTAAAATTTAAATGCACTCTTACTTCTCTCATAACAGTACGTTTCTTGAGAAAGCCAACTTTCATTACAGCATGAATTATATGATTGAAACCCAGTATTCATGTTTGATCCATTCTCGTTTCTAAAGCTGCTGAACGAATCGTCTTTAATTTTGCTCAGTTTAGCAAATTTGTAGTTTTTACCTTCAAATAGACTATGGAAAGCTGAATCATTTAGGTTTGGGGAATTTTCTGGGGTAAGGAAGTTTTCACTTGCAATTAAACATTTAGGAACAGTGTCTCTTGCATAGAACAGTTTACAGGCATCACATAGTCTACAAAACGAATATGATAATAAAATCTGTCATGCTTGTTGGTGTTTTGTACCTTGGAAGAGACTTCGGACCCTGCGGAATATTTGAGTCAGTGGGCTTTAGATAAGCTCGAATAGCTCCTCCATGATGTGGAAGTCTGTTTCGGCCCCATACAGGATGTGATGGAAAAATACTCATTAGCTTCATCATAGTAGAAAACAAAACCAAACATACTTCTTTGCAGCACCTATAGCTAACCACAGCTCGATAATCCATTCTAGCCCATAAAGCCTCTTTCTGTCGAGAAAAGCTCGACATTTTCTGTTGCCAAAATGAACCAAGAGCCCATGGAAGAATTTCATATTTGTGATCCCCATCATCTTCTTCTATATCATGCACAAGATACCTTGATTGAAATGTAAAAAAAGATGTCACACTCACAGACAGCAAAAAAAATTCATTCGATTATATTCTTGAATTGAAAGATTACATCTTTTAAAATAGGCGAACACATACGCAATCGCAAACTAAAATATCGGATGAAATTTCCATAGGCTTACATTGTCCGCATATTTGAAGCACATGTCGAATGCAAGAAACTTTTTAATTGTGGTATCCTCTTTGGATTAAAGGAAATTAATACGAAAATTATTATACCCAGCAAATGAAAAAATGCTATCATCTCTGTTTCTTTAACTACATAGGCACTCAAAATATTCTCACGTAATTTTTGGATAGATGGAGCTACGACGTAAGGACTATGAGTAGCACTGTTAGGGCCAGATGATTGAATTATCTGAGATTTCTTAGATATAGGTGTATGCCTGTAATTCTTCCGTTTTTTGTTACAAAAATTATTGTTTTCACTAGGCCTCTTGCATGGATTACGCTGACGACTTATGCTATCAAACCATACGATAGACATATGACCAGCTAAACGCGAGAAAAGAAAGTTTATTCACAATTGACCCTTAAGTAGTTCGGTAGATTAGTTAGCTGTACTTCAGAAAAACAAATGTGTGGAAAGAGAACAAACATCAAAAATTGAGTTGCAAATATATCTCGCTGCCTATAATGTTTGATTAAATGATATTTTATTTTTTTCAGAAAAAAATGTTGAAGCTTTAGGTATTTAGGGTGTCTGTCTAATACCAGTGGATCGTTTATTCTTCCAGCTGGATATCCAATTGTGTGATAAGGTAAGAACTGCTACAATGGTTTTACCGTCAAACATTATAGTGTTAGACGTTACAAGTGTATGATGCTAGGAGAAGAGTTTTTATTCTTAGCATAACATTATGATTAGTGTCAACAATACTTCGTACATGTACAGTAACTGAGATAACGTTACCATATGTTGCCTGACGACGAACAGGAAGTTGTTACATGAAACGGACCAAAACTATATGATCAGAAATGTGAATGAAGGTTTGAAAACTTTGTATTTGAAGAGCATTGCTGTTTGTCTGCTTAGACTTTACTAGAGGATGGCAATACTTTACCGGACAGATGTCTTTCAAGCATCAGTCTACTCTTGGAGTCCCTAAAACGGTTTTTAAATTCATCCTGATTTACTTTTAACGGAACATTATATATGCAGATAAATCGAGTAACAAAAGGATCCCTCGTGTCCTGATTACAGCCAACTTATTTGTGTCACATATAGAATCAAATATTTTCGCCAATGACACTGAACCACGAATGCAGATGATATTTTGTTGTCGTAAAAAAAGACTCACCTAAGACCTTTTTATAAACTGACGAACACATTAATATCATATTAAATCCACGTACGACAGTGTAAATGGAATTTTCGAGCTACCGTTTTTAGACCCTCCACTTGAAAAAAAATCTAACTGAAGCTCTAAATCTAGCCGTCTATCGAAAACCAACGTACTGAAATCGTTATACTAACTCCAGTTCAGCACATCCATACAGTGCAACAATCTCCCTAGCCCTGAATTTCTTTGGAAGTGCAAACAAGATTATTACATTTGAAGAGGAAAAACAAAATTAACAAAAGCATATAACTAACATCTTACGATATAATAAATTTCTTATTAATATTGTTAGAAGTACAATGAAATCACACGTTTTGCTGCTATATAATAACCTGAACAAAATACCAGAGATTGACATTGAAGTCTCACCATGCCGTCATGGTGTAACAGAAGCACTTCTGGTAGTCCTGAAACAACACAGAATTAAAGTATGTCATAAACGACGAACACTCTTCCAAATGCTATAGTTCGCTTAAAAGAAAAAATCGCCGTCAAGTCAATACAGAATCTTGTCTACAAATTAAGGGTTGTCCGTCGTGATTCCTACTATGTTGCAGAGTAAGTCCATGAAATCTTGACTCGAGTCAAAGGATATCTTAGGCACACGAAGAAAGCACTAGTAGTCCCATAAAACTGAAAAGACTTCAAATTAGATCGAAGACAGCAGTCAATGACATTTTCAATAACCATCAAGTGGATGTTAAAAATATCAAAATAATACAACAAAGCTTTTTCAGCTAGAAAGAAAGGAGAGTAGCTGAAGCTTTCCATGTTTTGCATAATCCTATTGTCCTTAATAGAAAAGAACGCCACACCATCCATCCGACTTGGCCCATCAGTTCGAACTGCCGTGTCTGATTCTATTCACACCCCACACTCTTATCGTAAATACAAATTCAACTCTATCCCTTTACATCAATGATGTCAAATTTTTCCATCATTTAACACACACAAAAATACACAAACATGAATCATATAAATCACCTTGGCCGGAACGACACGATATCAACTTGGTCAGACTTGTTTTTGATTGATCGCACCAAATATTCTCACTTTACTCCTTTGTACTATTTAAACTTAGGTTAATTTAATTGGTTTATTTATTCTCTAAAGAAGTGGCAAACATCTAGTTACAAAAATTCGAAAAATTTAGAAATTTAGTTTTTTCACTCATTGGGATATTAATAATACTTTATTTTCATCTATAATAATTTACACAAAACTCAAGATTTTGAAACTATCCGGTCAAACCGTGCCGATAGCATCAATAAATATGATTAAATAAATTGCTAAATGGATCACCACTAAATCAAGACGATGTAACGGGGCTACAGAAAGTAACGAGATTCATGACCAACTGTAAGATAGCCTTGTCACAGATAGGCAGAAATGCCGATCTGAATTGTTCGACCAATGTAAAACGAATAGTGAAACGACTACTACGAGGTATACAGTTTAAATGGGCGGAAGCCGCAGACGATATTTTAAGAAAGGGGCTAGAGCCCAATTTTGATTTGTTGCAATTCTTAGAAAGCAGAGTGTCAATCGCCACGAACACTTACGAACAGTTAGCAAGTGGGAGCCACAAAGCTCAAACGACATCGAACAACCGGTCTGCTTCTATTAGAGCTAAGATCCATACATTGTCGAGTAAAGGAACAGTTCATTGTGTAATTTGCTCTGATACCCACGAAGTCGTATCTTGCCCACAGCTGCTAGCAGTAAATCACAACGAAAGGTTAGAATTACTGAAGAAGTTTAAGCTTTGCTTTAATTGTTTAAAACCCAATCACCGAGCAACAGACTGCCGACAACCCATGTAGTGTGAAATCGATGGATGCAAACGACGTCATCATGGAATTATCCATGACACAGAACCTGATGTTAAACAAGCACGCTTTAATTCTACTTATTCTACTGGAACGTATTTGGGATTTGTACCAGTCAGGTTACATGGCTCCACAGGACACGTGGATACATATGCATTATTAGATAACGGCTCAGACACGACACTACTGATTAGTGATGCGGCAAAGCAGGTGGGAATTTCATGTACTGTGACTCGATTAAACATATCCTCTGTAATTGGAACGTCATCTCAGAACGCGGAATTTACTAATTTCGAAATTGAATCTTTAGATAAGACTAACCGAATAAGGATCGAAGATGCATACACTATCGATAACCTACCTGTTAAAAAAGCAGAAGTGCCACCGACCGACTTCCAGAAAAGGTGGAAACATTTGAAAGGTGTACGGCTACCTACTATTACATGCGACAGAGTAGGGTTGTTAATTGGAGTTGACGTTCCACAAGCCCACTGGGTTCTCGATCAACGTATCGGAAGGTCCCAACAACCTGACGCTTCACTAACCATGTTAGGGTGGGCTTTATTTGGGCCAGCGGGTAAAGTCAGTAAAACCTCAGCCTTCATAAACTGTTTAGAAGCAAAGAATTCTATCGAGGACGGACCCACGCCGCCCCTTTCTTTGAACACAGTAGCGCCTGAAAACTCATCAAATCGTTTGTTGCCGTTCAAAGATGATCCTGGTTTATACCTTGAACACTCTCCTGATGTGGCACTCTTAGTCGATGATGATGATGTACGCTCACTCATAGTAGCAGCAGCCGCTGTTCAGACTGAAGATTCCAGGGTTCATCAAGGTTTACCGTCAGTTCGTTCTTTTGGATTTAATACTCCACCTGATTCAAGAAGTAACCGACTTATAGACACCTTTGATTCTGTATCTAAAGCGACAGACGAGAATCCAATGGATTTAGAACAAGTTATTTCATTATCAGCTGTTGACGATGAGTACCTTCTAAAAACTGCCAACGATCGTCATGTCGATACATTAGTGAATATTGACCTTAGATGTATTTCTCCTCCAGACAAAATTCCTCCAACAGATAGTGGCGAGTTAATGTCATCGAAAACATCTGTTATGTTCTCTGCCGAAACAGATCTCCCTGGTGTTTCTGACGTAAACGATAATGCTAAGTCTGTGATACTACTACACGAGTCATCATTTAGTGTCAAAGCAACAACAACTCAGTTCTCTGCAAATACGAAACTTGTATCTCCTTTAGTAGCGTCTGCTGAGAGTTCTATTGACATCAAGTGTGAAACAGAGAATCAGAAAGATGATTGTTTTATTCAGTCTGCTGATGATGATAAGAAGTTTAAGACAACTACATCCATGTCCCCTATAGTTGAGTTAGAGAAGCAGATACAACATCCATTACCAGACTTTAAGGATAGTAGAGTAGCTAAAGAAATGACTCATCGGAACATAGAATGGCACCACAACACTCCCTACGCAAATCATCGTCGAGTATGGGAAAGATTAATAGGAAGCATACGTGGACTTTTGAGCGCAGTATCCATGTCTTAAGAGACACTCACCACCTGTTTGACTGAAGCAGAAAGAATACCTAATAACAGACCACTCTTACAGATGCGAACAAAATGGACACAAGGAAGACGAGATTTACAAGTTCGCGATCCAGTCTTGATTATTGGAAACACTTATGCACGAAATAACTGGCCTAAATGCCTCGTGGTAAGTTTTGACACAGGAGGAGATGGTCTATGGAGACAAGCGAAGATCAGAACGTGGAAAGGTACAATTATTAGACACATACGTAAAATTTGTTTATTAGAAGGAGCTGACGACCGAAAAGTAGAGGATGGAGAGAATTTTCAGAGTGACTGTGGCTAGAGTAAATCGTACCATTGTCACCTCTGAATGTTTTTACGTTAATACCTAATCAGCGAAAGTAAGGAAAGACATGCTGTCTTTGGGGAGCGGTGTTAAGTTTGTTTTACATTGTTCCTGCTCATTCCTTTTCTACTCTTTGTATGTTGGTTTATACTACTTATTTATATTCAGTAAGCAGTTGTATGCCCAACAATTTTCACAATTATGTTGTAACTCAGGTTGTACTGTAACATTCTGAAGTGTTCACATATATCTTTAACGTTTATTTTACTTATCATTGTATTTATCATTATAATCACTGTAATTTAATTGCTGTAACGGTTATCCACAGTTTTATGCATTTGTTTAAACGCAACAGTTTCCATATTGTTCGCTCTTGGTTCGAGTTTCGGTTGTTCATAAACTGTTATCAAATTTAGACA